CTTTCATTACATAAGCAAACCAGATCTACACGCAAAAAAAAACTAACTTCCAGAGTTAAAAAATAACTGTGGCAGATAAAATGTGTCACTGAAATAGGGACAGCTAATGTCGATACTACGGAAGCTAAATTTATTCGCTGTTTAAACTTAGGTGTTATAGCGAGAAATATTAGCTGCTAGAAACAAATGACTAGCAAATGATTGTAACTGTGCGGCAAACTTCTTTAATATATGTATACGATAAGAAATTTAGGAATAACTGCCGTTTTCTTAGCTATTTGAAATAATGTGCATTTTTAATATCATCTAATATATTTGTATTTCATAGCGAATGCATTTTAGCTGTCATAACCAATTCTTAGCAGTGACAGCTAAATGATTAGTCTTTTGATTAAGTTTGAATCAGCTACCGCGGTTTAGCTGATATTACTAAGTCATTTTTTGCGTGTAGTTCTTAGCTTTGAACGTCTGTACCTAGGTAAGTATTGTGTATGATTTCATCCATGTTTAGAGGAAGTTTCCTACTTAAATTGATCCCAGGAATACGCTCTCTTATATACAGTTTATTATAGGACCTTGTATAATCATATATAACGAATGGTGTGTTTAATCATATATAACGAATAGAACGCGTACTAATATCTTAGAAATCATGCTCTCGTTGGATTTCTGTCTCTCTTCACGATTGATTCGTCCGTGACGAAAATCTGCCGAATGTTCCAATTCGCCGAGATATCTTTTTTTCTTTCTTTCCCTGTCTCGCTCTTTCACGGTGAAAGGGTTTCCCCGCACCGGCAAATTCCGCTTTACGACTGTAAATGGATAACGCGACTTCGTGCCTCGGATAATTGTTCGCCGGCTTCGTCTTAAACGGGAATTTCATTTGCACCTTACTTAAAATTCTCAAGATACTCGGCACAAAGTATTGAAAAGTTGCTACGTGATGATCCCTGTCGATATTTTCGCCTGGTAACGACGGAATCCAAATTCGTCAGGAAGTTCCGAGATCATTAATGGACGAACGCGCGGGATCCTTCCGGCGAGTGGTAATTTTTAATTGCAAGCACGTCGCGCCGATTCCAAACCCGACAAGAGGTTTATTTCCGGAAATATAATTAAAGAGGAAACTTAGTGTCGTGTAGTCAGCTTAACGAGTCTATATTTTGCAGAAAGAAGCCGTGCTCCTTCGCTCGACCTTTCGTCGACCTGAGTGATCGCAAATCCTCTGACGAACTATTAATGATTAATTTTGTATTTTGCGTAACCACTTGTGTGCGATATCGTAGTTATTGATTGGAAAATCCGATTTGCGTAACAAATTTGTGTCCAACGGATTAAAATAGGATTTGTTGCATGTTGAATGAAGCGTGTATTTAACTATTCATCAGCCCATCGATCCAGCACGACACGTCTAATTTCTCGTTTATCGCGAGATGATGATCTCAAGGGGACGCAGACGTGACGACGGTACGTGTGTACGTCTTGGAACGTTGCAACGTATAATCGCAGAATAAGTCGGAATAATAAAATCACGGAATAATAAGACACGACCCAATGAGATGACTTATTGTCACAAAACTTCTCGCCTTCTGCGTCTACGTAAGACGGCTCGCGAAAGACTGCGCTACATCACGTCATTATCGTTATCTCGAGCGATAGTTAAAACGCCAGTTCTGCATCTCGCGCACTTAACCAGCATGTGGATCGCGAAAAAGAGATTCGTTATCGGATGAGATATACATTCGAGGCGCACTTTTGCGATCTCCAGATTTGCGGTAAAAAACATGCCAATACCTAGACACGTGTCTAATCCTGAGCTTTCTGATCGCTTTGATCTTTAAAGACGAATATTTAAACTTTTAATATAAAATATATGTACATATATTGAACATGTATTCTGCATTGACAATTTAAATATTTGTATTTAAAAAAAGATCAAAACAATAAGAACGTCTTGGGTCTGCTCTTTAAATACGACAAAATAAAAAGGGAAAATTAATCGCTCGAAAGCGGAAGGATTGGATTAATTTTAACCGGGAAATTATTTTAAATGTATTCTCTCTCCCACTAGAGAATTCTCTCACTTCTGCACATCATCCACTCTCGCATCTCGCGTAATTATTAAATTGCGCTGATTATTAATAGGGTGAAAGACAAAGACAGAAACAGAGAGAGAAAGAGAAAGAGAGAGCAAGATATGGGGAACTCGGTCGCGCGGACAAATTGGCAAGGACGTGCGTGATTTTCTAAGTGAAGCAACATTGCAGGTCGCACACAATTAGAGAATGTCGTATCTTTGAAACTGCGGTTACAAGATGCGCACCTGTGCGCACATCATGAGACAATTGAATTTGTACTCTGGAAATTTCTTGGAATGGAATTTCACTGGAAAAGTAAAGTGACCACACCACCGAGTTATTTGAATTCGAGTGATTCGTCATTCATATAGTGTGAGCTCTCTGTTCTGAATCGTTGAGTATTTTCACTTGAAACTGAAGAGTAAATCTAACGTGCTTCCTCAGGAACATATGTTCGTGCCACAGAAACATATGTTCATTCTAATTAGTATTTCCACGAATATTTCGAGTGACGCTTTTAATCCACCTCTCAATCGTTTCGGGTGAGATTCCACTCCACGAAATTTAGAGAGTAAAACAGTAGTTTCACAGTGACAACGCTTTAAGAGCAGTAGGCTCTTGTCCACAATCTTCCTTTAAGACGTAAGCCGTAAGAAATTGACCAACTACAGTCGATTATTTTTCTAAAAATCGATCATGATTGGTCAGTTTCTTACGGCTTACGTCTTAAAGCAAGATTATGGGGCTAAGGTAGCTTTCGCGACGTAATTCATTCGGTAATTATTTCTGACGGATTAGACCAGATGGCCATAACCGGTGACGAACAAAAAGCACGCGGTTATTTTTGCGAACTGTTATCCGCAAATCCGAACCTGCGTAATCTCGCTAGGCGCAAAAGTGTGTGCATGCGCGCCCACGTTATCCTATTATTTCGCGACGATGACGCAACGAGCTTAGGTGAGCGTCTGTTGCAATTGTTGCTAGTACGCGATTACGCGCGGGTTACATACCTGCAACGGCCGTTCTGAGGACGATCCTGCTGCGCAAGGACGATCCTCCGATCTCTCCGGAATCTCGTCGGTGGTAACGAAGTTGCGGATCCTCTGCGCTTCCGTCTGCGCTCTTCTAGTTACACACTCAACTCTGCGTTCTTCCAGTCGCATACAGCTGCGCTATAATATTTTTAACCAATAAATAAATAGCGTAAAGAATATTGCGCAGCACAGAAAGTCGCGGAGCGCTTTTGAAAATAAATAATAAAATCACAGGCACGGGAGGTAAATAATTTAATTATCCTAATTACGACTGGGCAGTTGTAATTAGGATCTCCGTGGAATTAGGAGGAAAAATCGTGATTTTAAAACGCGACTCCACTTTCACGACTACACGCAGAAAAGTGCATACTGCGCGCAAATGCATGTTACTTGCTTCAAGTATTTTAGAAGTTTATACACCAGAAAATCTATCACGAGTTCGTTATCAGCAGCAAGTTTAATCAAACTACATTATGAATTATAGTAAGTTGAGTTAATCAACAATAGTTTAATCAACAAAGTTTAATCAACAATATTAAATTAAAATAAAAAGTCAAACTTTTTCTTCGATATAGTCTTATAATATTCTTGTAAAGGAAGTAAATTCTTCTTTTGAGCGTGATAAGGAACGTGATAAGGAACTTTTCTAAAATTTGTAATAAGCATATCTCAAGACTATTATCAAGAAAATGTTCATTGTTGAAAATAACCATCCCTTAAAAATAAGAAAGTAAACTTTTTCTTAGCAATAGAGTGATCTCTTTCTGTGTGTAAAAATGTCGAGTCCACGTAGCTCGAAGTGTCTTGAAACTGACGTTATTTATTTTCAAATTTTGTACTTTTATTGGTTTGGTGAGAGAAAATCGCAATTCCTACCTTTATTAAAAGGCAGTGACGACTGATAATATATCCGTTATTCCGTACTGAAGGAGAGGCCGACGGGATTTTGTGGATAGTGGAAGGTATATTGAACTCTGGGATACACGGTGCTGTCGTAATTAGGCGTCCTGGTTATTGCGTAACTCTCTCCTCTCTTTATCCTTATTTCGTGCAGCGGATTATAGAGGAGGATCCTGTTCATTGTCGTGTCGCCAGTGTTGTAACTCGCTGTGTCCCTCGCGCGTTGCATAAGAAAGGATATTTACCTACGCGATATCCTTGATCGAATTATCGCGCTTACACGTAACAATTCTTCTCGCCGTGAGAGCAAGATACGACGCGCGGCATGACTGAACTGTGCAAAAGCGAACTGTGCGTATGCAGCTTCGATTCTCTCGCAAAAATATCTTCCACGCGGTACAATCATCTCTCCCATTCTCCAAGAGACGCGACGAAGTTACATCCTACATCTACTCGTAACTTCATCTGGAAAGAAATTCACTGTTATTTTAATAGTTATTTTAATAAAATGCATTATTGCCAAGGTGCGTAAGTTCACGCGCTATTTTCCTCGCATGCGTCTGCGTTCATACATTGGGTCAGTCAAGAAGTTCGATTCAATTATCTATTTTCAATATCCTCCGATAATAAATTGCTAGAATGCTGCCGGAAAATCATAGAAAACAATTCAAGCGACTAATTGGTTGACGAATCATTTGTTTTCATGGAATACAGCAAAATCAAATTTATCTAAAAAATTGAATCAAATCTTTTGACGGGTTCTATAGTACACACACACACACACATACAAAGCTCACTGTAGAACTTCCAAACTTCCGCACCCGTAATTATTCTCGATTATCTGTCTAGTTTTCGTTACACTTACAAAAGCCTGTCTTTATTACTTGAGACAAAGGGATTGCGTGCGGGTTCGTTGCCTTAGATCTTAACACTAGCGACACTTCCTGGCGGAAGCAGGGACTGTTCAGCGCGCTGCAAATGTCACAGATGAATAATTACAGTCATTTATTCGTTTTTTTTTTCATATACAAAACGTATCAAGAAAAACGGAGAGCGCCAGCGGTCTTCACCCCGGGCTACCGTTGCTCTTGCTACATCTTCTATCGTAAAACTGTGTACGTATGAATGTGTACGTGTATGTATGTATCGTGTAGTGTGTGGCATATATAAAAATGACTCTTGCTAAAAATCCGAAATGAGTGTCACTTCGTTCGTTCAAAACTCGGTTCCTTCGTTGGGGCTAACACTACGCTTGTTTTAATCTCTCGATGTTCTAGATATCGATATATAATATAATCGACGCTATTCTGTAAATATATATATAAGCACAATGCGTGCACACTCTATGTACATGCATTGCGCTTGTATATACATGTTCATAGATTATACATACATACATACATATATATATATATATATATATATATATATATATATATATAATCGCTCTATAACTAAATATCTTCTCTATACATCTTCTATATTATTTATAGCATTTTTTCCGTAAATTTTTTTCATGCGCTTTTCTTTACAGTATACTCTTGTTAGATTATTTGCTATTCGTAATACCACCTCTCTCGTGATTCCGTGAACGGTTCTCCTATCGACGTTGTTTCGTTTGAACGCGATTAGTTATCATACACGTTACTTAACTCATGCACATACGTATATATTCGCACTTAAAAAATTTACACAAGGAGAAAAAGGAAAAGGATAACTGAAAGACTACTCTCGCCGACGAAGCAGAAATCAAGCCTCCCGCGACTCCTCTCTGCCCGGACAGCACAAATTATCAAAAGATGTCTTGAAGACGTCCAAAGGACGTCTAAAAGAGAAATAGAATGTCTATTGGAGACATTTTCAAGACATTCTTTTAGTAGATTGTGCTGTCCGAATGACAACAATCACAACGACGAATCGCGGGCGTTGTGATTAAGCAAGATCGCGAACGAAAAAAAAGGGAAGAAAGGAACATGGAGGGAAGAGCAACGATGGAAACATCCTCTAACCGCGATCATTCATACGCGCTGCGGTTGCCGCTTATTCCGCACTAACAAGGAAACTTTCAGAAGCCTCTTCGAGTTTCGCGATTCGCGGATTTGTGGTGGAGTGGCTCGAAATAAAAGACGATCCCCTTTTATTCCGAGCCGCTGAATAAGTAGAGAAGAAAAAAAAGAAACACAAAAGAAAAAAAAAGGAAAACAAACGGACGTTTGAGGTTCATTAAAATCATAAAATTCGACAATACCCGAACGTTCGAATTCGTAATATCCGAATGTTTCCTCGTCGTCTACTCTGTCGACTGTCGCTGTTATACTTTCGCTCGTCTCTCTATAAAAGTATCTTCTTATCATTTAAATAACATTCAGTAAAAGGCTCTCTCACTCTCTCTATCTTTCTCCCTCCTTCTCTCTTTTATCGCGACGTTTAAACAAAAGGACCTGATGGCTGCGGCGGCATGTCGGGATGTTAACGATTGCGCTCGTTAAAGCACGACGCGAAGGAATTACCCGGTCTCGTCCGCGGTGAGTTCTAATGCGCGCTACGAGCGCAACTTCGATCATGTTCGGTCGACAGATTCAAAATGGCTCGCACGTAGTCGCGGAAGTGAAGACGAAAAGTGCGCGCGAGTACACTGCGTACGTAAATCCGGTGCAAATACGTTGTAAACCGTGTGCCGTAAGAATTGGCCAATCATAGCCGATTATTCTTCTAACAATCGATTGTGATTGGTCTTACGGTTTACGACATCTATCGTAGAACCAACATAAAAACGAATCGTACTCAACTTCCGTCGCGATCGAGAGCGCGCGAATAGTCGATTTGTACCCGAAGACAAAAGATTGTTTAAATTAACGTGTCTGGATGAAGTCAAATGAAGAGTAAGTAGGGTCTGTAAAACCAAGCACGATTAATGTAGCGCTATAAAAATTTTATGGCAATACATTGCTACTTGGCCTTTATAGGCTCTATTTATTCATCATTAAATTAACATTACGCAATTAAATGCGTCTTGCACAGAATTTCTGGTTCTCAAGAACCGAATTTGAAATTCATAAGAACCAGAAATTCGGTCTGCTTCAACCAAAACGCGTTCAATTGCGTCATTGTGTTCAATCAACTAGTAGTTTTTGTTTTTTCCCACAGAATACTATGACAGTATCACAAACAGGAGGAGCGCGAACTCATTCCGATACCAGTGGACTCTTAAAAAATATTATATATATATATATATATATATATATATATATATATATATATGCGTACGATATAACATATGATATATAATATTATATAATATATAATACACATGTATTATATATAATATAATATGTGATGATATATATATATATGCGGCACACATGAGCGAAGATTCGAGACCTACTAGCAGAAACGGAACTGCGCCAAAGGAACTGCAATCCGCGACAGTCCTCGCCAAATGCGAATCCTATCGAATCCCGCGCGAAAGGAACACCACGGCGAAATCCGCATACACGCCATCGCACTAAATGTATATTTCCGTGCAAAAATCTCTTAATAGAATGCTTAATTTATAACAAGTAATTCGATTGCGGTACGATAATCAAGGCCGTCGAAGCTGACAGTAGACAATTATCGCGATATATCAAGCGGATCTTATTAAACATATAGTTTCTTTCTCTCTCTCTCTTGCTCTCTCTCTCTGTTGCTCTCTAGTTATAATGCGCAATTCACTTATAATATGCCTTTCTCGCTCGGTAATCTATATAAATGTCACATAACAAACTTTACATGTACGGTCGTTCCCGCGAACGTTGCGATTAAAGATAACTGGGGGATAACATCATATAATTCCCCGCTCCTTCCTATTTTCGCGTTTGGGAAGGAGCGGAAGATCGGTCGAATCTCACATGACTCCCCCGACTTCTAACATCTAATTAATGTTAATTAGTTCTCGATGAAAACCGCGTTAACAACGAAGCATAACGCTCGGCCCTTGATCGAAGGATCGATCGACGTTATTTGCGACTCGGCACCGCTGAAAAGGCGATTTGCGAAAACGTCAAGAGCCAGCTGTCAACGAATCGAACTTTCACAGAAAAAAGAAACTAATCAACTTGCATATAATACGTATTATATAAATCTTACGGGATTGTTGCAACAAATAGTGATCTAAGCCTACTTAAATCGACAAGCTCACTTACAAAATAAGTGTAATCGCTGTATATAAAACTACGGTTTCAATCTCGTTACATACATCTCTTTGCTCGTCGCAATCAAGGACGTACGCACTTGTAACACGCCTGGTCTGGAATTTAACAACATCTTGCTCGTTCTATTGTCGCGCTGTTTTGATTGTAAAAGATGGAGGGGGGAGAATCTCATTCTCATTAGCCTATCAATTAATAAAAATGGACACGGGGTGTCTTAGAAGCACCGATCTTCATTTCAACAGATTCTTTGACGGATCTCGCGCGTAACCTCTCGAAGCGAGGGGCAATACGAATCGTTTACTCACGCCGCAGCTTTTCGATATTCGTTAAAAAATATTTTTGCACACACACATATATTCATATATATACATATATATTTATATCTCAAATAAAAAAATTCTCTGTAAAAATAAAGCCTCTTCGGTTTTGAATGAGCAATAGAATCTCGTTATACACTTAATGATCCGCCTAGATGTATCTCGAACTGGTCTACCTTGAATTTTCGTGAAATCAAGATCAACCGCTGCCAAAGAATCTGTCGTTGTGTATACGACCGTAAAGCGTCTGCCCTCCGTCGCTATCTTTAAAACGCGGACGAACGACGCGCATTAGGAACAAAGACGGCGCGTAGAAAGATGCGCGTCAACGTTATGTCAAATGGACACCGGGAACGACGTTTATAACAATTTGAAAGATTGCCGCGAGACCGTTTCACGTGTACTCTCGCGATGTACACACCAGGTACGCATTCGACACCACGCAACCGATTGCTCGATCCGTTGTTGCTCTTGGAAACATGCAGGACATTGTACAAAGTTGCAATAATCAAATCTTCCTCGTCATCTTTTTCTTCTGTTCTTTTTTCTTCTTCTGCTTATTCCACTTCTAGCGCTGCTACTACTACTTCTAAATCTTCTTTTTCTGCTTCTTTTTCCTCGTCTTTCATATTCGACTTATAGGAACATCCAAATGGAGGGTTCTAACACGTGTTCTTGAGTGATTATCGTGCGCGCATCTCGTCTTATTTCACACGCTTCGGCGGCCTGCCGCGCTTCTTCTTAGGCACGGTCTTCGCGGTTCGTACGACGAGCGACGGTTTGGCAGGCGCGCTTCTCGCTTTACGAGCTGCCCTCGCCGCGGCGATCTCGCGCAACTCCACCGCATCGAAATTCGTATCCTCGACGACTCTCCTCGAACGTCTGGTGCGCCTCGCCACTTGCTCCATCTCGTCGAATTTATCCTGCAAGCGGCGCGCCAGTTCGTAATCCTCTCGCTCCTGCAGGAGTACCTGCTCGATCCGTTGCTGCTCTTTGATTACCTCTTCGTCCGAAAGGCGCTCGTGCTTCTCATCTACGTCGGCGACATTGCTCTCCTCCAAGACATTGCATTCCTCCGTCTCGTCGCAGGACTCTGGCGGCGAGTCATAATTGAACTTGCCATTGTTGTATCGCGTACCGTTCGACTCGCTGCCAACCACTCCTCTGGAAATCTTGGTCGAACTCGCAGTTCGCGCTGATCTCTTGGACGCAGGCGCGGCGACCACTTTGCCGTTTGTCGCGTTTGTCGACGACTCACTCTTCTCCGCGGTGCTTCGGGTAGCCGCGTGCATTCTCCGTCGCTTCGATGTGCTGTCGACGAGTTTCTCGTTCTCCCGGGACGACGAAACTACGACGGCTTGATTCTCGACCGCGGAGCTCTTGTCTCTCCTCTCAGATAACACTCTCTTCCTCGTGCTCCTTTTAGACGACGTGTCGGACTCCGCTTCTGTCGGCTTCAGCGTCTTTTTTTCCGCGTTCACTTTCCTCCTCTTAATTCGTTCCGCTATATTTTCGAGCGCTACGTCATCGTCGCCGTCCCGCTCGTCGTTTTGCGGACTCGTTTTGCCACACGACGAACTGGAACCCCTTGGATCATCGTCCTGCTTCTGCTTGTCCTCTTCCTCCTCCACCTCCTCTTCTTCCATTTCCTCCCCCTCCTCCTGTTCCTCCTCTTTTGCGTCCAAGATAAGTTCGGCACCCTTTTTACAGTACCTGACGTTTCTGTGTCGTTTGGACTTGGCCACCATGCCGTTTCTCACGCGTGTCCGCCAAGACTTACGAATCGTCTTCGCGTCCAACTCGTCGTCTAACGACAATTTTTTGCTCACCTTAGTGCCATTGACGATCTTGTTTACGCTCTTCGTGTAATTTTTGTTGCTGTCGAACGACGATTCGAGGATAAAATCGAGTCGGGCGTCGCTCGTCTGCGGTTTCATTGACTTACTCAAAACCGTCTGGTTGAGTGACGTCGACGGTTTCTGATCGATCGGGGCCGCCGTATCCGTATCTACATTGCGCGCAGCTTGCTTTTCCCTCGCATCCTGCCTTGCTTTACCTATTACAACATATTACAAAATAAGTAGAAACGAGCATATTTTCACATTTACATCGTTTTGATTACGCGTCTAATCGCGGATGAAGTATGTCGTACGACAAAAAAAAGGCTGCCATTTTTTATCAAATATTAAAAGTTGATGAAAGAATCTAGCTCGCCATTAAGATATATACGTGCATAAAATGACAAACTGTTGAATTTTAAACTTTCTCAACAAAGGAGTTTAACTTGAATTTTCTTTGAAGATTTACTATAATGTGAAAATATAAAATTGTATATTAATAGCGTCTCTATGTATATGATGAACAATGAGGTTATATAAAATGTTGCACATATAATTTACCTCTGAAAGCGCTCCAGGAACATCCAATGATTCGTTTTAGATGCGTCGGTGACGGAGGTTTCAGTACCGCGTTGATCACCCTTTTCATAATAGGAACCACTCTGATCAGCTTCGGATCAATCTGTTTTCCATCTGGAAGCAAATATATACATATATATTAATATAATGCAATATAAATACAAGCAAACACCGAAATTATCTTTCACAAAAATTAAAAAAACACATCATTTTTACATAAAATTTATTTTGTTAACTTTAGTTATTTTATTAACTGTAGTTATTTATTTTGTTAACTTTAGTTCTTATTTTGAATTCTCTTTTATCGATGAAATGCCTCTGAGCGTCAATTTTAAAATAAATCGAAGTTCAAACTCTCTTCAAATATATCACATACATTGTTAAAACAGAGTTTAAATTTAAATCTAAGATTAAACTACTATTGAAAAATCGGTTCTAAATATGTTTACAAGTCAATCAGGAAGCTTATAATTCACATTCAGAAAGACACTTTAAAACAGAAGAATGTTCGGGATAAGAATCTTCATATGTATTGTTAACTTTATTTTTGTTTAAAACAAAGATATATATCACGGCGCCCACACGTACCTGAAGAAATTTTGAACGATGTCCTCGGCACTGTCTTGATCGGCTTGAAGTGATGGATCTCCTGATTAATGCTATCGTGACTGCCCGAGCTCTCCGCGCTTCCTATCCTCTCATCGTCGTCGGTCCGATGTGGCCCGAGTGATCCGTGTGTTCTGCACACTTCCACTCCTAGGCTCTTCTTCTTGCTATTCACTACGTCGCTCGGCACACGCAGCTCCTCCTTGGTTTCGGTGGCATAAGCCTGCGACGTGGAGCATCCAGGATCCGTGGGATAATTCGAGGTACATGGTTGAATGTACCTGGGTACCGCTTGGTGCTTGAACGACTTCGTCACAACGTTGTAGACGGCCAATTGCTTCGGACAACAGTTCTTGTATGCGTTAGGTGCGTTCGTCTTCACTTTGCAGTATCTCTCAGTGCAGATCTTCGTTAACAACGCCATATTCGTCCGTCGTAGATCCGGGTTATCTCTGATGGATTCAGGAAGACTCGTCCTCTTGTTATCTAAGTGTGTACTTTCGGCTTGTTGCGCTTCGACATTATTTACACGTGTGGTCTTCACGTTGAACTTGGACGTGTCGTACGCGTAGTTCGACGACGTATTCAAGCACTCGCTGTAGCACTTAGCCGCCTCCTTTTGCTTCTCCGCGACTTGCTTTTTCGCCAAGGTCTTGGCCAGCAACTGATCCTGCGCCAATTGCGCCAGCAACAGATGCTGCTCCTCCGCTTGAATCTTTTGTATCAAGGCCTCGCTGGCTATCTGCTCAGCCTGCCTCTGACGTCGCATTTCTTCTTCGGCTATTTGAAGTTGCGCTTCATATTCACGATGTATCTCTCCGGCCGCGCTGAGTATCCTGTCTGTTGCGAAATCTGCGACAAAGTAAACATAGAATATACATTGTTAGAACAAAAAGTTCTATTTAATTCAAGTAATTTAAACTACTATTTAAAAAATTAAGGCTCTTAAATCTAAGTTTACACTACTATTGAAAAATTGGGAAATGCATCAACTGTTACAAATTGTAATGAAAGCGTTCACTTATGAAGTGAATACAAAAGTATTCACTTCTCAGCAAAATATCATTCTATGTTCAGAATCGCTTTTTATTGAAGAAATTACCAGTCAACAGAGAATCGTGATTGTCAACATTTAAAAATAACAAGCAAAAGGAATCGCTTTTACAGAGTGTTGATTTTACATATAAATTATGATATTCTACATGTAGAGATAACATAAACTATATATAAGATATCATATAGACAATACGTGATCTGTTGATGTTGTTTAAAAACTATGTGACTTGTTCAAAAAATAATTAATAAATGTTTGTGTTGTTATTTAATCTTTAGAATTCTGATGAAAATTTATGGATATTGCTGCTTAAACAAGTGCACAGAATTCTCTAATGACATTCTCTTGCTTTCAAAATTAAATATGCCTATCTGTCATGATGAAATGAAAATGTTATGCAATTTGTTATCCTTTTTAAACATTACATTTAATAATCAACACTCAAAATAGATATCGTAAATACTGTCCTGTAACTTGATTATTCTTTTCTGCATATATTTTAATACAATTTACGATACATAGTTTGCGTTGCTTACATGAATAAAGATCGTATATACATCATGTGTAGACAATATATAAACAATCTGCACAGACGTAATCTTGAGATATGCGGCACAAGCATCTCGTTTTGCACAGTGCAGCGGAACAACGACGTACACAAAAACGCACAAATGTAAGGACGCCGTGAGATGCCAAGCGCGGGCGAGAAACACATTCCGAGATTACATAATTCACAGCCAACACGACGAGAAACGTTCGTCGGCGGTGAGGAACACGCGAGAGGCGTAGTCAAGTGACAAATAATGACACGCTAGTCGCATTCCTCATAGGTTATGTTACGTTTGTTTATTGCTGGTATGCGCGCGCGGGGATGTGTGCGTGTGTGTATGCACGTACGTGCGATGTCACTCACCAGCGTCCAAGCCGAGGTCCCGCTCTTCGCCGTTATGCTTGTCCTCGACCTCCTTTGGAAATTTCGTCCGGATGAACTCCCAGAGGCCGTGGTTCACCAGGGTCTCCGACTTGGTAGCGGTGCGCAGCCACGAGCCTACCCTGAGCCTGCAGAGAGGACAGCTCAGGCTGTTGTGCTCGAACGTGCCCTTCAGGCAGCGCAGGCAGAGGTTATGTGTGCACGGCAGCGTCACTGGCTCGATCAGGATGCCGCGGCACACCGGGCACATGAGATCCCGCAGACGCACGTCCGCGCTGGGCCGCGACAACGACAAATCGAACAGTTTCGACGAGCGTTTCAGATATGTCGCCATCTTTCCATGTTCCTGCTACGCGACTATCAACGACAGCACTGCGCTCCACTGCCACCATCACGAAGCACTCGGCGTTGGCGATCCCGGATGGGGATTCCGCCGTTCCTTTGTGCGTATGCGGAACGCGCGGATTCGCCACAAGCGATCGGAACGCCGGAACGGCTGGACTGACGTGCGGCGCGCTGCTTGTTCGATACATCGAGTTGACTCGTGACCGCTTCTGTTGACAATTTTGAAAATTTGTAATGCTCTTTTCGTGCAAAAAGAATCATTGGCAAAAATAATATTATTGGAATTATGACTGAGTGTCTTTTCTCAGATTCGCTTGCTTTTTTATTCAAATAATATCTCATTATTACTTTGAAATAAGTATATGTATATATATATATATATATACATATATATATATATATATATAT